CAGGGATGTAAATCAAAACCCAAATCAATCGTTAAATAATAAAAAAAAGATTAAACTATCAAATAGACCAAATAAATCTTTGTTTGTAGACTTACTAGGAATTATCTGTTCGTCTTTGAATTTAGTTAAATTCGATTTGCCCTTCGGATTTACAACCAAACATAAGAGACAAACATCTAAGGTCCAGAAACCTCGAAGTGGGCGTGATAAAAAAACAAATTCCTGGTTGGACATTGATGATACACCGTGTATATATTTAACGGTTTCCCGAATGGAGAAAAATCAACGACATATAATCGTTATTTTTAAACGGATTGTTTTCGTTCGTGCTGATGCCAACTTTCTGTGCCAATGGGATTATACACAAACGAATTAAAAAAGACGAAAAGGAAAATTATTAATAAAGCGTAAATATGCCGTAACTCTAGCGTTATGTTATTCGTGTATTAATATTTCATAATAAGGCGAATGCGACGTAAAGGAAAAAAAATCGCTCTTCCGTTGTGCAACGCAACTGAATGAATTCGATTTCGTATCTGTTTCGGCTGTCGCCAACGCCGCCTGTCATCTCTTATCGAAGGGGTGTCAAAAATAGGGAACAAAACCGTTTGTCTGCACCTATAAATTTCCTGTTTTCCCATGCCGAATTCCGTTCAAATGGCATATCTCTCGTGCACATGAATGTATGTTTCATCGAAAACGTAAAATTTAGTAAATGTGTACATTTCCCAATAATCAATGTATGCATTTACTATAGTTTTCACAAGTTTAATCAACGAAATCTCTATGTCATCTATATCATTTATAATTAAAGTAAAAGCGTACAATTTTATAAATGTAGAAAATATAAACATTTGACATTATTTTTACAAATAATATCAGTGCGGGTTCGATCAATATAGTGTCACTAAAGTACGGTTAAAAAATTTCAAAATAATCTAAATTTTAGTTAAACTTTTGGAGTTTTTTTTTTACCTTTTCACAGTTAAGTCCTCGATTAGTCCGGTTGGACCAATACTCGTTTTAAGCAAGAAAAAATGTAATATTCAGATAGGAATATTGAGTAGAAAACGTAACATCTTAGAATAAGAATGTAGCAAAAATATTACTAAATTGAAGAGTGAAAGTGGAAGCTTCTACCAGGAAAAAAATAAATGTCTTTGCCTTTGTTATGCATATAGTTTCGACATACATTGAGTAGTAAATGTATTAAAAAAATATTAAAAATTATACTTTTATTAAGAAAATTCTTTTAAAGAACTTTTAACATTTGAAATTAAAATAATGCTTCTATTCAATAATTAACTAATATTAATTAAAACAATAATAAACAAATTTAACGAAAACAGATAAATTTTTGTTTGATCTTATGAGATTTTATAGTTCCATAAACAAAAAAAATATTATTTTGTATTTACACATATTTACTAGTAAATGTATACATTTTCCAAAATCACATTTACTGTAACATATTTATAAAACTAAACCCACTTTGCGTAAATGATACTTTCTCGAAATTCACGTTTAAGAAAGATCCTATTAAAGAAACACGTTGAAACGAAAAAAAAAAACTCTTGCATCTTGACGATTTCCTTACTATACAGCACCGTTTCGCGTGGCAGAGTGCCCACAAAACAAATACGGGATTTGCGTTTTCCGCACGAGAAATGCTCTATTTATGCCAAAAGAAAAAAACTCCACAGCACAGAACAACATGCACATAGAATACACCCATGCATGTGTATTAAAAAACGCAGCTGCTTCACTATAAATAAAGTGGCAAGTATGGATATTTTGGTGGAGCTCTGTGCATGTGGACTCTTTAAAATGCAGGTGATCGGATCTCTTTGAATAACAAAACGAAATCGAACAATTGCTATTATATATTGCTTTTTCGTCGTGTTTGTGTGCTCTTTGTTTTCCTGCACAATGCAGATAGTTTGTGCAAGTGACATTGAGATCGTTGATCATGGACTCACGTATCCTTAGGTGACGGCAGGACCGGCGCAAGGGCGTTGGGCTACAACAACTTTTGTTTCGATCACGTTTCTTTCGATGTATTGGGAAATGCTCAATTTTTTGGGTCTAATGAACCCACGTTCATTATATAACAATAGCACATTGATCAATGCAAAACAACAATTACACAATCGAATTTTTAATTTGACATTAATTATAATGTTTTTTTAAAACAAAAACGCATTTTTTACATACAATTATTCTAAAGTTATGTCTTAATGGAAAACAGTAAATAGTGTAGAACACAACTTATACATTAATAGAATCTATTTAATTATGTTGTCAACATTTTATATATAATTACGTTAAATATAATAAAAGTTACTTTAAAAGCTGCAAATTCTTTAACGAACTTTAGTTACGAGCAAAGATTTGCTAAATACTCAACAACAAGATCTTCAATAACGACATTTATAACTCTTTTAGAAATATTAATTGAAGATTGGTTAGTTTTATGAAAATTGTAAAATTAATTAAACCATCCAATTACCATTAACTTAACTTTTCAATGATGTAAAATTTCACATAAACTTAATTTCTGCTGCGATTTGTTTATACTTTAAAGTTTAAACCATATTTATTAAATGAATGCAAATTAATTTCGGTTTCAAAACAACGATTTGCTACGTTTTCGAATTCTACAATTCTCAAAAAATTCCATCCATGTTGCAAACAAACATGTTTGATGAAAGACGTAACTAATTTTTCGTCGTCCCACGGTATTTTCGACGTGCTTAATAACGAAAAAAAACATGTTTCTGTTTATTTCGATGTCCGCTGACTAATACATCATCAAGATCTCTGATAAAATTTGACTCATGAACATATTTTATAAAGAAAATAATATTAATTTTACTAAATCTTCTATAAGATTCTATTCAAAAAGAATAATTAAATAAAATAAACAAGAAATATTATTATATATAAATTTCTACAATTTTTAAACAAATATAAATAGCACAAAAAATAATGTTATAGCAATATTAAATTGGATTTTCATGCAATAAATGCAAGAACTCAAATTAAATTTTCTCTTAAGAAAATGACGAGTTTGCAATGATCTAAATAAAATGCAGCACATGTTACAATTATCGTAAATTGCACTAAAAGTTATCATATTTTAATTAATCGCAATTGCAGCTTGAATTCAAAATTTCGATTTTAATTAGATATTAAAATTATTTGATTTATGTTAATTCGTGTTATAAACTATTAAATCATAAGTCGAGGTCAAAATAATTTTTTAAACTTTAATATTTCATATAACCACATTGATCATAATTGCTGTGTAAAAATAAATTAAGGAAATAAATGTACAAATAATTAAATATCAATTTACATTGCATAATTCTCGAAATCGGCTAATTTCAAAGTTGATATTATCAAATTATTTGCAATGTGTATTATACAAGTTATCTATAAAGAAATATATTTTTTTTATTTACAATAATTTATGTTTTTTTATATCCAACTTAATGCAAGTGTTATTCAAGTTTTGCAATAATACAGATAAGGCAGACTGTAAAAATTTAATTTCGCCATGAGAACAGTTTAAGTGTTTCTAGTAGAGTGCAACGTTATCAAACATAAATAAAAAAAACAATGTGTTTGCTTTTAAGATATTTTAGTAATAAATATACAATTATTTATAAAAAAATATACATTTTACGTTAAAAACTCAATATTTTTATAGTTTGAATTTAAGAAATAAAGTTAGTTTAATCAGATATATTCTGAAACTAGGAAACTTCAGTTTGAATTAAATACTAAACAAAATTGTTTATTAAAAAGTATAAATCAATATAAAAAAGTGTTAATATTTTCGAAATTTATTCGACTAAAGATTTTATTCATTATCTTTGTTTACAAAACATTAATTTAGAAAAATTAATTAAAAAAAAAACGTGTCAACTTTAATTAACTAAATGCATTTAATATTTTAAAACTGCTTCTTTTTTTGTATAATTAAGCTTAGATTCTTAAGTTCATTTCTGAATTGAAATCTACGAAAATTGTAGAACTTAAAATTGTTTTTTTATTTAATATATTATTTATTAATTTTATTTGGATTTTTCCTATATTTTTTTTTGTATGTAATTAAATTTACAATTTTATCAAAAATAAAATAACTAAAAATTATGGGTGGTTTTAATGCAGTATAAAAAACGCCACTTCCTTCCTTCAAATAATTTCCAGTATATAATGTGCTTTTAATAGCTCCAGTACTTTGTGTCACAATCAATTTTTTCATATTATTTGCAAAAATAATTTGATACAGGTATAAATTCTTTTGAAATGTTTCATGATAGTCTGAAAAATTAAAATTATGTATTTGTTTTCCTTTAAATGAATTCATAAAGACACTTTTTCTTAAATAAAATAATTTAATTGTAATAAGGTACAGCTAGTGACAATGAATAAAATTAATGGAGTTTAAATTCTTTAATTATACGCGAATTTTCTGTAGTTTTGTGTCGATCCAAATAATCTGATATATATGAAAATTCTTTGCGACTGATTCATCACATTTAAATTTCTTTGTCACAAAAAAAAAAAAACAAAAAACAGTTCTTATAAATATTTAAACTGAATTCTTTCCGTGTTTGCAATTCCACTGTGTTATGTTGCTACTTGTATATTTTTCTTTTGTGATGATGATGTAGGAGTATAGTTGTTGCTATATCAAAAAATACACAATTTATGTATAAAACTGCATTCTTTTTGCTTTTTCTAATGAATTAATTTGTATTTTTTTTATGATGATGAGGGGTGGGTGTTAGTTATAAACTAGATTTTACGCTTCGGGCGTCTATTGAGTTGGCGCCGGCCCTGGTTCTCAGTAATAACATTGATCAATTAAGGGAAAACATCTTTCTCTTTTCTCTCGCGCGACTGCAGTGTATTATATTCGAATTTAGCGCTGTTCCGGCTTTCGCCCGCATATCGAGTCACTTCCGGGATAACCGGAAGTTGATCTTTACCTAGGCCATGGTTGATTTGCAAAGATGTTCCACCAGGAGGGTCTCTTCTGTCTAGCGTGCGGATGCGGCAGGGGCGGTAAAACACCTTCGCTGCCGCTCGTATCGTTCGTAGTTGTTGTCGCACCGGTCTCGACGACACCCTTTTTCCGCTTCCGTTCGAACTTGATCGCGTGCCACGACTTCCGGCGCGCCTTCTTCGTATCCGCCTCGACCGGTCTCGTCGCACTATCCTCGACGAACCACTGCTTGTCCTCTTCCACGATCCAGGGGTCCTTCTCGTGGACCACTCGCAGCACTTCCGAATTCATCGCGAGATGAAAAAATACAGGAATCCTCCCCCACGAAAATCGTTAGGTCTGCGCTCACCGCAACTCTTATTACGATTCAGAGCGGACCCGTATATTGCACATTATTATTTTATATTGCAAGTGAAACTTTCACACGATACGGAGCGCGCGCGAATTCTGCGGAGTCCCGGAGGCAAAATAATTGAATGCCGAAAATAAAAGAAATGAAGAGAAGAGAGAGAAAAAACTGTTCACGAACTGTCGACAACCGTTGATGATGATGATCTGATCCCACTGTTCTGGATCTGTTCGTACACTTCGCTTCGTTATAAGCCGTTCGCGACGCAGTGCGAAGCAGTCAGAGTTCCGCGCTTGTTTGTAGTTTGTAGACGACGGACGATGCGTCTAAATCCAGTCGCGATTGGCGGTGCACTAACCTCGTGCGATCACTTACGACGATCGCAGCCGCCAGTAATCCGCTCGTTCCGTACTGCCAAAGCTACTTTCACGAAACCAACCAACACCTACCACCTCTAACCTAACCAACTAACTGACACACGACGACTATCTTGCGCCTCACCACAACATCCTCCAGCGTCTCAACCATTTCCTTATCATCATCATCATTGCTAATACTTAACCAGATCACAACATCAGCAGATGCAATCAAGAATAACAAATTTCACAGAACTACAGTTTTAACAACACGTTATGCAAAGATTCAATCTCCAAGATGATCCAAATGATCAAACAAATTTGAAACCAACAATTTTTTTCTTCCAACTCAAGAATAGTGTTGACAAGAAACTTTAACAACCGTTTAAAACTGTAATAAATTCACTGCTAAAAGTAATTCATCTAGAATACTCATAATTATATCATATAACTCAATAATATGAATCACAAATTACTTTAGCATTAATTTCTTTACAATCATCATTGAAAACAGTTAACTATATAAAATCAAATGCTTTTATTAGTTTTACAATTTCAACAATTATTTAAGCAAAAATTTGATCCCTAAGATGTTCCAAATTCTTGAACAAAATTTTGCAATCCCTTTCTTCTAAATCTTCAGTTCAGCTTTTATATTATAATTGAACGAGTTAATATTTTTTTAGTTCATAATCATTTTAAAACAATTAATAACAATTGATAATTGCAATCAATATAGAATGTATACCAATAGTTTTACATTATTATCTTCTACTTGACATACTATTATTGAATACATGACAATTACCAATTACTTCCTAAGTACTACAAGAGATGGAAAACTATGGTAATTGAAGATACACAATTCTTACACGCAAAACACTATACTTGACAAATATCACGTAGCAAGTATCCCGCTTTATACGTTAAAACGTCATTATGATATAGATAAGACTTGAAAGTATATTTCGATACTTGTGATTTTTCACGTAACATAATTTGTATCGAACCAAATAATTGAAATGTCAATTTTTACAATTTAAAATTTTTCTATTCAGGTGATTCTCAAAATGTTTCAGTTTAGTACTTATTTTGAACAAGCAACAATCTAATAAAAGAATTAATCAGGAAATGATTTTTTCTAATATTTAAATAAAATGTAATAAGTATAAATATTGATAATTACTATCAATGGATATAATTAACAACTCAAGCATCTCAAGTGTAGGAAACCTTTTATAAATATTACATTGTAACAAAATAATCAAAAAATATTTACACACCTAATCAATGATTGATGTATAATAAAAATTTAAAAAGCTTCGTCATAACCCAAAGAAATTCAGTTACTAAATGAAACTGAAATCTTTTGTAATTAGAAAACAGTTTATTCCATTTATTTAAATTAACCATAAAGAAGATGCCTTCTGTTCAACCACTGTTATTCTGCACACAAACAATATGTTGTGTGTGTTTTTTTCTTCTTCTTCATACACCTGTCACTTATAATCAACAAATTTCCATAACAACCCATATAATAAACTAAACGTGACTACCGTGAATTTGTTTACGTTTTCATCGTATTATACTTATTTTCGCAACAACATCAGAAAGACGATTGCAAACTGTAATCCAATGAACTTTGAAGACTTTGTAAATAAACTGGATAGGTAAACAAGATAGATCTTAATGAAATTAAGTAGAGGCGCGTGTTGAAACATAAAATTCAGCTATAACATGTTTGTTTTCGTGAGAGTAATGTTACATCAAAATACTTTGTAGGAAATTGGATATAAGCGTTGCAAAGGAACTGCAATGCGCATAAAATTCGGTATTTATTGAGTGCGTGGAGACTCTCTACATTTGTTTACCGTAATTACACGTGCACCTTACACAGTTTTAACGTTCTTATCTTTATTTTCTCAAATTTTCTACGTCGCTTCTATTTATAGACCGAAGATATGTATCCACAAATCCTATTTTCAACAAAACAAATATCACTTGAAAACATAATAATTTAATTAGTTTAATTGTTCCAATTTTGGAGTATAGATAAAATAATAGATATAAGGGCATAATAGATATAAGAGGAAATTAAAAAAAAAAAAACTTCATCAGAAAAAAATAAGAGATGTAATAAAATATTCTTATGATAATCCTCAAGAATCTGTAAGAAATTTTGCTAAAAAATCTTTAAAGTTACTTTCAGTTAGAAAAGTTACATAAAAAAGCAAGTATTAATCAATCAATTGAACTAATTATAATTAAAAGATAAGATAATGCTTTTGATCTAATTATTTAAGAAATTCAGCTTTAAAATGATGATAACAGATAATTATATTGTTTAAATTAAATCCATTAAAATATCATATTTACAAAATCAAATATTTTTGGAATTAATCAATGAATACAAAAATCAGAAATTATTCCCGAACTGTTTCAAACCGTACTAATCGAGAAACTAAATAAAATAGAAATAATCCGCACAAAACGAGTCAATTTGTCTTGATCATTTTAAACAGTACTTTAGTGAATCCGGACTCTTGAAATCCGTACTATGAAAAGTATCGATGTAACTAATTATTATTGAATTGTTAATATTTTAAGCAACAAGATTTATATTCCAATTTGATTAATTGTTCAATTGAAAGATAAAATTAAAGTGCACTTGATCAAAACAAAAACGAGATAAACAAGAAATCATTATTTATGGTTATAACGAAGGTAATCAACTAAAATCTTTCAATTAATCTGTTTCTTTATTCTTAAAATATAAACCATTCAAATTTAGCACAGTTAATTTTCTCTAAATCTTTAGTTATTATTATTCAAATCAAAACAATGTAAAAAAAAACGAAATAATTCTGAACAAAAGTATTCCGATACATAACTTTCATTGTGATAACGCAATAATTTCTACATTTTAAACCGTAAATTAACGTTACCCTAAATAACAAGATAATTCCTTTAAAATCGTTCACCTTCTTTTTCTGTATTTCAAGAATTGAATCGTGTCTGTTACGAGAAAACAATTATATTTCGCCCGATTAGATTCGGAGATATCCGAAGAATTTTGTTTCGACAACGAATTATTGTTCTTGTGACAGCTATTAATAACAATTCACGCAATCCCGGAGATTCCGAGACCCCCGCGGCTCGCCGGACGGTTGGAGTTTTGAAAGAACCATAAAATTACATGGCATTAGCGGCACAAGAATGGGATGACGAAAACCCGAAACGAGAACCTTTCTAACATTTCGTCATTAAAATGTAACAAAATACCAGCTTTGATACTCAATTCTCAAAGATATTAGTTTCATTTAGTTTACTGAAGAAAATTTCATGGTCCAATAATTCATATCATAATTATGTTATCATATAACAAAATTCAATTTGTCAAAATTGTATTGTATAGTGCGAGTAATCCGTTCCGCCAATATTCCGGACTGTTTGAAACCGGATTAACCGAGGAATTAACTACATGCAAACATTAACCGCACAGAACGAGATTTGATTGTATAAAGAGAAAATAAATTATTTATTTTATTTTTAGAATTTATTTAGGTTGTAATGAAATTTTCAAACTATATTGACTAAATATACCTATAGTGAATCCGGACTGATCGAAGCCGGACTATGTGAGGTATTGCTGTACATATTTTAAGTGATTTAATACCAAAACCGAAAGGATTTAAAATTATAATTTGTAGATTAGAACTAAAACATTTTTTTTATTCAATTTCACTAAAAACAAAGCAAGAAGTGCAAGAAACTAAACGTTTTTTTTTAGCAAAATAATAATTTCATAAGCATTTTAATGAAAACTATGCAGAAGTGCGACTAAATGAAATCATATACAGAAGTACAGAAATACCAATGAGACTTTGATACTCAGATAAGAATATTAGTTTCATTTAATCACTGAAGAACATTCCAATGTCAAATAATCCATACGAGAATTGCGATGATTTCTTAATTATTTGCTTATACTAAAATTCATGTGAAAAACGAATATAAGACAAATTTTAGAGGGTTAAATACCCGGAATTACCAAAACCGAAAGAAGCGTATACTTGGAAGCGGATGCTACAAATGGGAATTCCCAACTTCAAAGGCGGACACAAAGATGTCCAAAAAAAAAGAAGCATAGTCGATGGACGATTTTGGGTTTTCTTCAAGAACTTGTTATTCTTAATAACAGAAGACAAGTAAATACAATAAAGAAATATATAGAAGGTATTGATTGTTATGGCATTCTACGATTGAAATTTATATATGTAAATTCGGTTGCGTCAATTTCACTCCTTTATAATGAGGTAACGAGCGATATATGCGGATGCACGTGAGGATGAAAGGAAATAATATGTAACTCGAATTAAGTTATTCATCCATATCCGTACATCTCCAAGTTGGAAAGTCATATAAAAATAGCATTCTTGAATGAACTCCGATTTGGAAGCACACATAACGAGTAGAGAAGAGTGTATAATGAAGAGAAAGAGAGAGAGAAGTCCTTGGTTTGCACGACTTTGCATAAAAATTTCGGGTCTAAATGTTAATGGAAACATTGTTGCATTGTTTTAATGAACGAAGACGCGACTTTGCAAATGCAATTTTAATGCAATCAAATGCAGCAAATACATCATCAAAATCACAAGGTAATAAAAATGTGCCAACTTGATTACATCACGCACTTTCAATTGATTTTAATTAATAACCTATAAACTTAAAAAAATATTACATTTCCATTTGTGAAATAGTTTAAATGCTTCGACGACTTTCAAAGACATTTTAGGGACGGAAGTCCTTTATATTAATCTTCTCATAAACGAATTAATTCATTAAACTAGAATCTGTAGAATAAAGTATGCAAAAAGCGATGGAATCAGTCTTTAAATTCATTATTTATCTATTTCATACTTTTTTTTCATCTCTATTAGCGCGCACAAATAAAATAAAGAGAAAAGTATTAATTATATTATAGTGTATAATGACGAGAGACGTTCTTGGTTTGC